AAAGGTGGGGCATAGAGGAGAAACAATAATGTACAGTATGTGGAAAATAATGTGGTTTTTGAACCTTAAACCGCATGAACACATTTCATTACACCAAATACACAAACTAATGTTCTTTTTAGCAACATCATATGACCCCTTTAATCATCCACTGTTGAGATCTTGAGAGATTTAATGTCTTTTATTTGCAGTTGATTTTACCAAATGCTCAATCATCGGTTATTTGATCATTTAATTATTTCATAAACTTCAACACTGTTTCAGTGAAGATTCCTTTATTTCCATGATTTTTGGACAAACAGTGTCTTTGAGTTGCTTTGCAATTACAAATTGTAGTGTCGTGCCAATTAAACACAAAAGACATGTATCCCCAAAAACGGAACTTTTTAATCTCAAAAAGCGGCGACAGAATGTTTAGCACTCACTCGGAAGAGTAACCTCCAACAGAAAACAGCCCAATAATATAATAACAGTCCCCTCTTGTGGCCATTATGTGAATTGCACTCCAACAACTATTGCAGTAAGGATACCACATTTACTCCCCCCCTAATTTTTAAAGGCAGTGATTATTAAATATACTAAAATACCCATAAGTAACTTTACTATTTGAAAAATAAGAGGGAATTATTTTCCCCATAACAGCTGAGATCAAAACACTTTTCTTTTTTTTTTTTTAAACATAAGAATGCAATAGTTTCTCATAATAATTCTGATAACTTGTTTAAAGCTATGTTCTCAGCTACTGAACATAGTCCTGGAGACGAATAGGGGGGCGTCTCTCCCGTGAAGAACGACGCAACCGAGGTACAGCTGGTGTCTCTAACTTGTCAGGCGAGTGTAGCTTTTCCTTAGCTACCACTGTTGTTGTGTCCTGGCTTGGAATGTCTACTTCTGGTACTGTTTCCGTTTCAGTAAAACAGGGAATCTCAGGCAGCTGGGAACTTCCATCAGAGGGCATTGTTACTTGGGTAGAGTCCTGAAATGTTTCCGTATGTCGAATTCGGATTTGATCAACATGGCGCTTCAGGATTTGTCCGCTTCCAACAGCTACTGTATAGGAGACTGGACCCGAGGAATTCACAATGACAGCAGGTATCCACTTGGGACCGTAACTGTAATTGCGCACTAATACGTCATCTCCAGTTGTGAAAACTCGTAACTTCGCATTTTTGTCATGACTCTCCCGTTGCTTTTGTTGTTTTTGCTGCACTTTTGCTTTAATGTCTGGCAAGAGAAGATCGAAAGTAGATCTCAGCTTCCTTGCCATAAGCATCTCAGCAGGCGACACACCTGTTGTAGCATGTGGGGTGATCCGATAGTTAAACAAGAATCGTGATAACCTAGTTTCCAAGGTGTCCCCCTTCACCTTTCTCAGGCCTCCTTTGAACGTTTGGACAGCTCGCTCCGCTAATCCATTAGAAGAAGGGTGGAATGGTGCAGATCTCACATGACGAATCCCATTGTTTTTCATGAATTTCTCAAATTCTGTGCTTGTGAAGCAGAAGCCATCGTCAGAAACCAAGATCTGAGTAATTCCGAAAATGCTGAAACTTTGACGCAGTTTCTCAATGGTAGCTTGCGATGTTGATGAGTTCATGGGGTAAATGTCCATCCATTTAGAATGTGCATCTACAATCACCAAAAACATCTTTCCCAAGAAAGGGCCCGCGTAATCTACGTGAATACGGGACCAAGGGGTCTCGGGCCATTCCCAGGGATGCAGTGGCGCTACAGGAGGCATTTTACGGTGCTTCATACATTCTTCACAAAGTTGGGACTCCTTCTCAACTTCCTTATCCATCCCAGGCCACCAAAAATAGGAACGAGCCAATCCTTTCATCTTCGCCATTCCTGTGTGTGATTGGTGTAACAGTTTCAAAAGCATGGCCCGACCCTGACTGGGCACAATTACTCTGGCTCCCCAGAGTACACAACCATCGCGCACACTCAACTCCAATTTCCTTTTATGGTAGGGGTTGTATTGCGGATCCACTTGATTTGGCCATCCCCTCAGCACATAATTGCGAACTTGAGAAAGTAGCACATCTTTGTTTGTCCAGCTTTTGAGTTGTGTGGCACTGATTGGTTCGAACTCCAACATATCCAACATCAAAACTTGACTTGACTTACTTTGATTTTGTTCCACTTCCAGAAGGGGTAGTCTGCTTAAGGCGTCTGCATTTGCATGGCTGTCTTTAGACTTATACACCATCGTGTATTCATAGGCACTCATCAGCAGAGCCCATCTTTGCACTCGAGGGGAACCCATCTGAGGAATGGGTTTCTTTTCTGCAAAAAGGAAAATCAGGGGTTTATGGTCTTTGCAAATATTAAATTTGCGACCATATAAATACTTGTGGAATTTTTTTAACTCCAAAAATGATAGCTAAAGCTTCTTTATCCAACTGAGAATATCGTCGCTCGGCTGGTGTCAATGTACGGGACGCAAAACCTAGGGGTTTCTCAGTGCTATCTTCCATTCGATGTGAAAGCACAGCTCCCACACCATAAGAAGAGGCATCACATGAAAGAATTAGGTCTTTTTCTGAAGAATAGTGTACCAACACATCTGTGGACTGTAGAAGTTCCTTTGATTTTTTGAAAGCTTTGGTCTGCGACTCACCCCAGGTCCATTTAGTATCCTTTCTTAACAGCATGTGGAGGGGAGCTAGGATACTCGACACATTGGGTAGGAACTTGTTGTATCTGCATGTAGAAGCCGTGTGATTTATGCCTTTACATCGATAACACTGCCCACTGTTCGGACGGTAATCTTTCTTACTGTGCCCTGGCGTAGGGGAGCTTTTCACTTTGTGGCACACAGCAGAGGAGGGCTTTTGCAAATCTTGAATATTTTTATTTGCTGCTTCAACAGACAGAGAAATTTTCAATGCATTGTCAAATGTCAAATTTGATTCCGCCAGCAGACGTCTTTGAATTCTGTCGTCATTTATGCCGCACACAATCCGATCTCTCAACATCTGCTCTAGCGTGGCTCCATAATTGCAATTTTGTGCCAATCTTCGCAGCTCTGCAACATATTCGGTTACAGACTCTTCCGGCTTACGAGTGCGCAAGTCAAACTTGTATCGTTGTACAATTTTGCTTGGTTGTGGGTTATAGTGATTCTTTAAGATCAACACAACTTGCTGATATGTTTTGTCTTTTGGTTTTTCAGGACTTAAGAGATTGCGCAACAAGCTGTACGTTGGAGCACCAACGACGCTAATCAGAATGGCTCTCTGTTTGTCCCCATCATCTGTTCTATTTGCCTAAAAAAACTGGAAAATATTCCTCCCAGGATTGACTCTTTGCATCAAAAGCTGACAACGTTCCTATAGTTGCCATTTGCCATATATTTTCCCTCACCTCAAGTTTTTAGAACGACATCCGCCGAAACTTTCACCTCACAACAAACTTGTCATCCACAACTGTCCAGTCATCAATATCCATTGATCCTCGTCGCCAAAAATATGTAGTGTCGTGCCAATTAAACACAAAAGACATGTATCCCCAAAAACGGAACTTTTTAATCTCAAAAAGCGGCAAGAATGTACCGGTTTAGCACTCACTCGGAAGAGTAACCTCCAACAGAAAACAGACCAATAATATAATAACATAGTCCCCTCTTGTGGCCAACTTGATTTGGCCATCCCCTCAGCACATAATTGCGAACTTGAGAAAGTAGCACATCTTTGTTTGTCCAGCTTTTGAGTTGCATGGCACTGATTGGTTCGAACTCCAGCATATCCAACATCAAAACTTGACTTGACTTACTTTGATTTTGTTCCACTTCCAGAAGGGGTAGTCTGCTTAAGGCGTCTGCATTTGCATGGCTGTCTTTAGACTTATACACCATCGTGTATTCATAGGCACTCATCAGCAGAGCCCATCTTTGCACTCGAGGGGAACCCATCTGAGGAATGGGTTTCTTTTCTGCAAAAAGGAAAATCAGGGGTTTATGGTCTGTGCAAATAGTAAATTTGCGACCATATAAATACTTGTGGAATTTTTTTACTCCAAAAATGATAGCTAAAGCTTCCTTATCCAACTGAGAATATCGTCGCTCGGCTGGTGTCAATGTACGGGACACGAAACCTAGGGGTTTCTCAGTGTTATCTTCCATTCGATGTGAAAGCACAGCTCCCACACCATAAGAAGAGGCATCACATGAAAGAATTAGGTCTTTTTCTGAAGAATAGTGTACCAACACATCTGTGGACTGTAGAAGTTCCTTTGATTTTTTGAAAGCTTTGGTCTGTGACTCACCCCAGGTCCATTTAGTATCCTTTCTTAACAGCATGTGGAGGGGAGCTAGGATACTCGACACATTGGGTAGGAACTTGTTATAGTAATTCAACAACCCTAAGTAGGCTTTCAATTCAGTGACATTAGTGGGACACGGAGCTTCCGTCAAGGCTTGCACCTTGTCTTTTAGTGGGTGTAACCCCTGGGCATCAACTAGATGACCTAAATAACGCACTTCTTTTTGAAGGAATTCACATTTGTCCCTTTTTAAGCGCAGCCCAGCACCTTGAAGTCGAGTGAGCACGGCATCCAGGGTTTGCAAGTGCTCTTCATCAGTTACTCCAGTGATCAGTATGTCATCAAGATAGACTGCAACATGAGTTAATCCTTGCAGCAACCCTTCTATGGTTCTTTGAAATATCGCGGGTGCCGAAGCCACTCCAAATGGAAGACGATTGTAGGTGAACATGCCCTTGTGGGTGTTAACTGTGAGATACTGCTTGGAATTTTCGTCCATTACAATCTGCTGGTAGGCATGACTCATATCCAGCTTTGAAAATGATGAGCCCCCAGACAAGGTTGTGAAGAGGTCTTCCACACGTGGAATGGGATATTGTTCCAACGGCGATGCCTGGTTTATGGTGAGCTTATAATCTCCGCATAGTCTAATGGAACCATCAGGCTTGAGGATGGGAACGACCGGCGCTGCCCACTCTGAGTACTTCACAGGAGTGATGATGTTTTCGTTCAGCAGTCTGTTAATTTCCGCATCAACTTTAGACCGCATAGCAAAAGGTACAGATCTGGGACGATAGAATTTTGGCACCGACCCCGGTTTAACATGTATCGTCGCCGTCATCCCCTTAAGAGTTCCTAATTCCTCTTTAAAAACTTCCTCAGGACACTGCAGTATTTCTACCAATTTCAGTTTGAGGGTATCCTCATTTTCCTTTATTCTCACATTTCGGATTTCTCTCCAACACAGTGTTATCCGTTCCAGCCAGCTTCTGCCCAGCAAATTAGGTCCTTCTCCCTCAACCACGATGAGAGGAAGCTTTTTTTTTCTGTTGGTGATACATGGTGTCCACGTAAGCAGCTCCTATCACCTTAATAGGCTCACCTGTATAGGTTTCCAGCTTTATCTGTACAGGTTTTAACTCAGGGCTCCGTGGTTCTTTCCATGTGGCTTTGAAGCAGGTTTCGTTCATGACTGTCAGGCCACAACCTGTGTCTAATTCAAAATTCACATTTTGTCCATTGACATTCAGTTCGACTGTATACGGTTTCACTTTTTGTAACTCTGAACAGTCCATACTGCCAAGCTGGTATGTGAGGCAACCCAAAGTAAAAGAATCCGCGAAGCCATTTTCAGCATCATTTACTTCCACTTTATTTGACTTGTGCCGTGAAGCTGCTTTGGCAGTGTCTCCATTAGAATGAGACTTACGATCTTTTGTTCTGGCATTACGGCAAGCTCGAGCAATGTGTCCTATTTTCCCACAATTATGACACTTTTCACTTTTGTATCTGCATGTAGAAGCCGTGTGATTTATGCCTTTACATCGATAACACTGCCCACTGTTCGGACGGTAATCTTTCTTACTGTGCCCTGGCGTAGGGGAGCTTTTCACTTTGTGGCACACAGCAGAGGAGGGCTTTTGCAAATCTTGAATATTTTTATTTGCTGCTTCAACAGACAGAGCAATTTTCAATGCATTGTCAAATGTCAAATTTGATTCCGCCAGCAGACGTCTTTGAATTCTGTCGTCATTTATGCCGCATACAATCCGATCTCTCAACATCTGCTCTAGCGTGGCTCCATAATTGCAATTTTGTGCCAATCTTCGCAGCTCTGCAACATATTCGGTTACAGACACTTCCGGCTTACGAGTGCGCGAGTCAAATTTGTATCTTTGTACAATTTCGCTTGGTTGTGGGTTATAGTGATTCTTCAAGATCAACACAACTTGCTGATATGTTTTGTCTTTTGGTTTTTCAGGACTTAAGAGATTGCGCAACAAGCTGTAGCCTACGTTGGAGCACCAACGACGCTAATCAGAATGGCTCTCTGTCTGTCCCCATCATCTATTCCATTTGCCTCAAAAAACTGCTCGAGAATCTCACAATATTCCTCCCAGGATTGACTCTTTGCATCAAAAGCTGACAACGTTCCTATAGCTGCCATTTGCCATATATTTTTCCCTCACCTCAAGTTTTTAGAACGACATCCGCCGAAACTTTCACCTCACAACAAACTTCTGTCATCCACAACTGTCCAGTCATCAATATCCATTGATCCTCGTCGCCAAAAATATGTGGTGTCGTGCCAATTAAACACAAAAGACATGTATCCCCAAAAACGGAACTTTTTAATCTCAGAGCGGCGACAGAATGTACCGGTTTAGCACTCACTCGGAAGAGTAACCTCTAACAGAAAACAGCCCAATAATATAATAACATAGTCCCCTCTTGTGGCCATTATGTGAATTGCACTCCAACAACTATTGCAGGAAGGATACCACACAAATGGAAATTACATTGAAATAACACGAGTTTAAATCTAATGCATCACTGAGTGTGTTTATTTGGTCCAGAAACAGTATAAATTATGTCTAAATGAACCTTAAATGACGTTGAAAATAATGTCCACTGACCACATTTGAACTAGTTTATAATCTTGTACGGAGGTTCCATGAACGTATATATCGGACACGCAGAACACGTCAAAAAAAAAGACGTCATAAAAACGTTCATTCTGGCTCCTCAGTGGACGTCTCTTCAACGTGTGCAAAGACTTCAAAACGACGTCCATTGGACGTAACTTTGCCCAGTGGGTAGGCCTACTATTTTAATATTTTACTTAAAAGCATTATCTACTAAAATGTCTACAATACTCAAAACGTTCTCATCTTGAGCAGAAAAGAAAGATAATCAGCAGTTTCAAAGTTTAAGTTCTATCCTAGCCTCTAACAACAATTTCCCAATTATAATGGCATGATTCTTTTGAAATGTTCTTATAGCCTACAAATTAATAACGCTAAACGTAGATCAGAAACGTCTTGTCACATGCGTTGAACAGGTTATAGATAAATAGTAAGAAAAATAACTATATTTGCAGCATTGTTTCTTTTTCTGCTGTTTTAGTGAAAGTAATCTATAATTTTGCTGCTCCCCGTGTTTCTGTTGTTGTTAAAATAACCGCGTTATCCGCGGAGTGAGAGAAAGCGCACTAAACTGAAAGGGCTTGAATAAAGCGCGTTTGGCTGTAGATAAAAATACTAGAGTAGCCTATATAGCGCTGAAAGACATTTACCATAAACGACCCCGAGAGCTTGTTATGTGACCCGCGCCGCTCACAAAATGGTGCTGCTGTTACGCCTTTTGAATATCAGTTATATAAGGATTAAGACTCGAGTTGCTTTTAAAATATTCACGAGTACTTTTCCTCGAACCGAGTCAAGTCTGGAGTCTTTACAGGTCGAGTCTGAAGTCTATAAAAACGCGACTCGAGTCCTGAGTGCTGCCCATCTCTGGTCGAGTATCGATACATCAGCCCTTTTCAAGGAACACAAAAACGCGCAGTAGTCTTAAACAACTTTATCTAGATATTTTAATCAAATCCGCAAATTCGTTTGAAGAACCAAATTAGCCAGAGATCAGTTATCACGATTAGAATATCTGGCATCTTTCAAATCATCTCAGATCTATTAAGCAAGGTATGAAGAACCGAATGGACCCCTGGTGTTTTTTTCTTCTTCTTGTGGGTGTTTAAGTTACCAATTAGCTAAAGAGTGAATGATTATCTTACTTCTTGTCTGTATCTATTGGTAGAATGCAATGCCTTGCTTGTCTTGTTTGCACACTGAACCTTTGATTTATTGTGTATATAACCCACAAAGGTCAAATATGCCCATCAAACACAGCAGAAATCAAAAGCTTCAAAAATAATACATTGATTCTTTCATTCATTACCCTGTGCGTATTAAGCATGAGAAAGCCAGCAGAAATTCAGGGAGCAACAAGGTGCTGTCCTGCCTGCCTACTGATTATCAATGCATATATCTATATAAAGGGAGTGAACATCGACAGGGATAGAGATATAAATACAATATGGACACAGGTTTATGAGAGCACAACAAATACACATGCTCATAGAGCTTTAAAAGGTAGCAGCAGCAGCTCTCAGCAAAACCTCTGAGAAAAACCAGCAGACCATGTCTACCATATTGTCTACGTAGAGTGATATTGAAATCTGGACACCAGCAAAAATTGAACCATAGCAAGTGGGCCTAATACAGCAGATGTTATAGTAGTAATGTGACACTCTTGAAAAACGTTACACAAATAAAATCAAAGTCTTGAGGATTTCTTTCTCTGAGCAAGACATTCAATTGCAAAAGAACAAAATGATCATGACAATATTTTTTGTCATATATAAAACACTAAAATGAATAAGCAGTCATGTTTACTTTTTTGTTTGAGAGCCATAAGGTGATTATGCTTCAAATCATTTCACAGTGATAAAACAACACTAACAGAACGGTTCACTGACAGGCCTTTGGGACTGGTTTTACACAAGATGCCCATGAAGACAATGATCTTACCACTATTTAAATTAAGCTACACTGATCTGTGAAGCAGGTTGTTCTTGTCAGGCTCTAGAAATTCTTCAACTAGAGCAGCGGTCACTTTCCTTAACTCCTCCTCCAGACTGGAGATATCACTGCAAAAAATTTAATTAAAAAACACAAAAACAAAAAAAGAAATCAAATTTGCAATTATTTGTCTTCTATATTCAAAAACAGAGAAAATTAGGTAGTGTGCATAAAAATACAGTGGCCTCAAAATGCATTTGGACATTTAAAGGAACACTCCACTATTTTTGAAAATAGGCTCATTTTCCAACTCCCCTAGAGTTAAACAGTTGAGTTTTTACCGTTTTCGAATCCATTCAGCCGTTCTCCGGGTCTGGCGGTAGCACTTTTAGCTTAGCTTAGCATAGATCATTGAATCGGATTAGACCGTTAGCATCTCGCTCCGACGGAAAATGAAAAGTTGCGATTTTCTAGGCTGATATGGCTAGGAACTATACTCTCATTCCGGCGAAATAATCAAGGAACTTTGCTGCCGTACCATGGGTGCAGCAGGCGCAATGATATTACGCAGCGCCTGAAAATAGGCTTATTGAAAGTCACCTAGCTGGGACTATTTTCAGGCGCTGCGTAATATCATCGCAACTTTTCATTTTCCGTCGGTCTTAGTACACGATGTAACTACAGAAGAGTCAAGTTTTAAATAGGAAAAATATAGAAACTCTTTGGTCATTTTTGAGCGAGATGCTAACGGTCTAATCAGATTCAATGTTCTATGCTAAGCTAAGTTAAAGTGCTACCGCCAGACCCGGAGATCGGCTGAATGGATTCGAAAATGGTAAAACTCAACTGTTTAACTCTAGGGGAGTTGGAAAATAAGCCTATTTTCAAAAACAGTGGAGTGTTCCTTTAAGCCACACATAAATGGCTTTCTCAAAACCAGTGTCAATATTCTGAGCCATTTTTGGAATGATGTTTAATGAACTGATCACAAAAGTAGTGAATGCATGTTCAACAATATCATTCATTTGAAATCTTTAATAGAAGATACAAACCGTTCTCCTGGTGCTGCACAGAATTCTGTGTAATACTTGATCTTTGGCTCAGTGCCGCTGGTCCTAAGTGTTGCAACAATGCCATTCTGAAATGTGAATGTGACCATTTGGCTATTTCTTGACAATGGAAGGACCTAAAGGAGATATTAAAAGAACATTTATTC